CCGCTCTCGCCTCTTCTCCACTCTACTCGAGTTGTCTTGGGCTGTTAATTAGAGGGTTGTAAGGTAGTGCTAAGATCAAGGTACTACAGCTTCACCAACCTGCCGTAACCGCGGCAGCCACACGAAACTGAAAAACCCCTACTCAGGCTCCTTCGCGGTCTTCCAATCACTCCCTCACAACACCTATCGCATCCGCTTTGCCTCAGAGCCCTTCGCAATTCCTTTTAATGAACACTTTAATCGCTACAAATCCGGACATCAGACAACTCCCAACACTGCAACAGAAGATCTGATACCGAAGGCAGATCAGTCCACCACACAGTCAGAGTTCAACACAACAATCCCTCACATCAACAGCACTAAAGGCAGTGCTCTTTTTAACAGAGGGGCTATGTCGCGAATGCCACCTTCCACGCCATTGCACACTATTCATGCCTGGTAACTTCTTCGGATATTTTTACCTCTTTATAACTGCCCAAAAGATAGACTATTGATCATACCGTGTCCCTGGAATTCTTACGCCAACTTGACCCTATTTTTCCTTCACTTATATTGTAATCTTTCTCCAAGTAAATTCTTCAAGAAGTTTCCTGTCTTCGTCCCGTATCATTCTCTGTGTGTTTGGTTGGGCGATGCCTCTCGTGCCGACTCACAAGCAGCCCATTTCTTCCCGCAAATGCACATTTTATCACCTAGAACAAAAAAAATTTGTCGTTTTTTTAGGATTTTTATCCTAATCAGACTTTATTTATTTTTTTCCTTATGTTCATTTATTTGATAATGACGCTTGTTGAAATCCATTGTCATATAGTTTGATCGAAATAAGTGGTATGCGATATATAAATCCCTTAATGAACAAACAATGCACTGTGAATTTATATTAATTTTGATAAGTTTTAGTCGAAATATTTTTAAACCCATTACTTGGTGAATTTCTTTGGCCAATAAGACCTTGGAACTGATTGTCTTATGCCTTTACGACGACTGGGTACTCGGTTCTATTCCACTCTCAAGAGCGCGCTGCCAAATTTGATTAGGAAAAAATGTGAAATATTTGCTAGTAGGGGGATTCAGCTGCCAAAATATGTTCTTGGTTGTAGCGAAAATGTTCCTAAAAGCATTGAGGTGCATGACGTCAAAGCTATTGCTGAGCTACATAAGGCAGGTCAAATTACTCGACAAATTCTCAAGGAAATCGGTTTATTGATTAAACCAGGGATTTCGACTGCTGATATTGAGCTGTTAGTGATCAATAAATGCATCGAGAAAGCAGTGTACCCTTCACCTCTAGCCTTTGAGGGATATCCTTGGTACGTCCCAAATTTCCTCTTAGCTTCGCAATCATCGATGCTGATAAATGTTTTCATCATTTAATTTTGTTATTGCTCGGGTTTATGGATAATGTATTCATAAAAAAATAGTTTGACCATAATTAGTGTTGTTTCATGTAAAATTTTGTCGCTTTTACCAATTAATTATTGTTCAAATGTTACCAAGGCGAAAGTGTTGCATTGTGGTCCTAATTACGGATCTAATATATAGATTTTGTCAACTTATTTAAGTGAGATTTCTTTGGTATAATGTATTATGTTACAATAAATTCGCACCTTGATGAGAATGCTGTGTGAAAGTAGCTTAGATTGGCGTCTAATAAATCTCAGTGTTTATTTTTGCAAAGATCAAGTTTTATTATTTCGCAAGATTTCTTTTATAGTTTTACATGTACTCCGTTAATTATTTTCATAAAATTTCAGTAAAGCGAAATGTCTAGTGGCACCACGCTGGAATCCTAATTATAAGTCCAGTGTCTGCATTTTGTCAAGTTATGTCCATGAACCACCGACCGTCGCAATTCAAGGGTTAATTTTTAATCTCGCTACTTGTTTGGAAACGTGATTGAGAGTAGCTTAGACTTATGGCTCAGATCTGAGCGTTTTAGTTGTAATTAGGCAATAAAATTTTCTCTTTGTTTCAGCCGTTAAACGGTGATCAGCAAGCAGGTCCATCAAAGTAATTCGTGTTAGGGATATATTGGAATCTAGTTTTTGTCTCACGGTTAATGGGTTTTAACACTTCTCCGTAACTCCTAAACTGCAGGCAGTGAAATCGTAGAACTGTCAACTGTATAAACCTTAAGACTAATGGCTCTCTTTTTTATTGGTAATTTAGTTGTGTATGTACGTCGCTCAACGATGTTGCAATCCACGGGATTCCCTCCGAACACGATATTCTTCGATCAGGGGACCTCTTGTCGGTCGACGTAACAGTTTTTACCGGGAAAGCTCACGGCGATGCCTGTGAAACATTTTTGATTTGTGACGAGGACACTTTATCGGTCAACTACACACAGAAAAGGCATCTTATTGCTTGTGCTCGCCGTGCTTGTGAATCCGGTATTGCCGTGTGTGGCCCTGGGGTTGCCTTTGCTGCAATTGCGGAGTCTATTTCGCAGGAGGTTTTTGAAATGGGCTGTCGTGTTGTCGCTGGAATTGGAGGCCACAGCATTGGCGATTACTTTCATGGACCACCCTATGTTGCTCATTCAGTCTTCGAAAGGGAGTCGCAAGATGCTGGAGTCCGAATGCTACCTGGGCACGTTTTTACCATTGAACCCGTTATCGCCACTGCTGCGCAACTCACTAATGGCGATACCGATGAGGTGATTAGGAACGTCGCTTTACCTGTTGTCTCCACGATCGATAATTTTTCGGTCCGCACAACTGACAGGGCGCTCACGGCACAATTTGAAGAAATGGTCCTGATCACAGAAGAAGGCGTTCATGTTTTGACTCGCTAGCTGTTTTGTAGCGGTGGTTGCCATGTAGTGATTGCTGACGAGAATTGACTTTGTTGTACAGCTTCCGGAATCTACTGTCCAGGCGTGAGGCTTCATAGCGTCTTTTTTTCTACAATTGACTGGGCTTGATCATTGTATGTTTCTATAATTTTCTTGCCACACTGTAAAGAAAGCCTTATGCCAGGAACATCTTGTGATTGTTTTGTGGGATATACCTTGATGTGGAACATATTCACCTCGTTTTGTGACCACAGACGTACGGTAGCATTTGCCCTGAAGAGTTTGCTCCCACTGCTTCACAACCGTAGTAGGCTGGCTATGACAAACTGAGAGCAGAGTCGAGACCGTTAAATCGCCACAGACCAGCTAAGTGTCACGATATTAAGCCGTCTGACCATGATTATGTGGTACGATTAACAGCGACACTTAATCGGTTGAGGCGAATAACGCGCCGCCATGAGAATCCACGGCGGCCGCCACTACTTCTCCAGCCATCCATGACAAATTTGGAATCAAGTTGCTGCTACTTGGGAACTTGCACAATGCAGACCGTGACAATACATCCATCATTGAATGCTAGCAGATCGCTAACTTACCTACACGTCCATAAGTTTTAGGCAATTTTCATAAACCTGTGATCAGCACAACGAACTCGAGACCAACGTAACGGGGTGCTGCCCCAGTAGCAAATTTACCTGTCTACGACCTGCCCATGGACACAACTACCGTAGAACAACATGGTTACCTCACACTGAAAATATCTCATGCATCAGGACTAGGAAACAGCGTTGAATTCCCAATAACACCGGCTAGTCAAACTAACAACATGCCTTAAAGTCTTTCTAAAGTGGAAGTTTGCCATAGCTTGAGTGTGCCTAAAAATTATGAAACTACAAGACAACCAGGATTGGCGCAAACCGAACCAGAAGCCAACCTGGCATTGGCCAGCAGCAAACTTAACGCTAAGCACAATCTAGGCTATACCAGTAATTTACAATAATAAAATCAACTACGAGCAGATGATTTGAGGATCCATCAGCGAAATAGACTAATTCCAGCGACGCAAAATTAGTACCAATTTAGACCATTGACGTACGACGTAACTCGACACTTAAACGAGGATGTAAAACTAGCGGAACACCAAATAGCTCCAAATGGTTTTATTTGTGATCAATTTCGGTTATCATTTCTGTTGAATTCAATCCGTCGCTGAGGAGGCTTGCGAATCTTTCGGTCAGCCTTTGAGCGGCCTCTTAGTATCTTTCCATGGATTGCGCAGCTTACACAATACTGTAACTTGACGTACAGCTTTGGCAAATTGTATCCTAGAATAAATTTCAACATGAAAGATATTTCTATACGACGCGGACAATTTAATGTAAATAGGACGCAGACAGACAAAATATCAACACGGACAATGTGACGAATTATATGGTGGAATGTCATTTTGGAGACCTGAATAATAAACACAGACCAACAAAATTTCCATTTAGGAGACGGGGTGAGTTCTAAGTTTATATCTAAGAACTGCAATAAGTCTCCTCGGACAACAAGCTGTTAATTTCCAACAGGCAGATCGAATCCACAATGATTTCCAATTTCAAGGACCTACATGACACGGAAGCTACATAAGCATTAACGACACGCAAACAAAGTCAAATACACTGAGATAAATGAAGGAAGGGGTTGTCATTTTGAAGACCTGCAGGTAACAGGCTAACAAAATGTCAATTTTGGAGACTGGGTGAGTTCTGCGTATAAGACGAACAACTGTAATAAGTCTCCCACGGCAGCAAAATACATTAATTTACAACCCCATGTCCAACCCGTATCTGTACAATCTTAAACTAAACCAGATTGCTCGAAGTAAGTTGGTTTTAATTTAAGGAGAAACTGTGCACTGTTAGCCTCGATTAACAGCGGTACAAGATCTCCCTCTTCCCAAGAGTACTATGTACCAAGTAGGCAAGAAAACCACAAAAACAAACTAGCTAACCCGTATAGAACGAGGCCTCCATGAGATCTTTGACAGCTGCGGCTTCAGCAATATTCCTTATGACAAACTTTGGAATACATTTGTCTTTAGGGCAACATCTGCCGCAGTTGCTGCAACGGATAAATTGGACATGACCACGTCCTTTCTTTGAACGCCCGTTGTTCCTCCTTTTCTTAGTCTAGTTACAGAATGACGTGAAAATTAAAGAACAAACCATGTCAGCCACAAGCGTGATACTCCAACAAAAGCAGGCGCCATTACCCAAATCAATAGCTAAAACAAAGTTCATGCAAAAAATACAGAGTAATAACATCCCTATGTCTTTTTTAAACTAATTTGCTTTAAATTAAAATGCTAATTTGTTTAATAACAGGATTTAAATGCAAAACTTAGAGTCAATGCACAAATATCATCTCAAATTTTATGTTTTTTATAAGCATATATAGAAAATTTAATCTTCTGTCGTGTATAACTTGACGGGTCTCTTTAGTTTCAAAAAGCGAATTTCCATAAGGAGCTATTTTTGCTGATTTCATGTCTTCAGGATCAGTATTCTGTTTTAGGTCACGCTAGACGCCTTATAAGGGTCAAAATAATTTTCTAGCCTTGATCTTATGTCGGTTGCTGGCAAGTTGATATCAATCCAAACCATTTAGAAGAGGCGGCGTCCTAAAGTTTATTAGGTCTACACGAATTCGAGACTATGCACTCTGACCTTGCTAACGTTCCGGCAACTTTCCAGCGACTAATGAACACTGTCCTCCGTGACTTAGTGCCGCATGGAGAAATGTGCGCGATTCAGGAAGTCGGTCAAGTTTTTGGGCCACGACGTCTCTGAGGGAGGGATTAGAACGGACACGGATAAGACGGAAAAGGTTAGAGTATGGCCCACCCGAAACCAATGTTTAAGAGTTTCGCAATTTACTTGGCCTTTCAGCATACTACCGCAGGTTTGTCAAAGGTTTCGAACACGGAACATGAAGCTCTGAGGTGAGTGTATAATTTTATGGAATCTTTGTGCCTTATGGCAAGATGGCTGGAGGTGCTAAGGTAGTTAAAAGTGAAAGTTGAGGATCACCCTGGGAAAAAGCATGAGAACGCGGAAGCCTTGTCTAAGATTCCAGAACATTCTGCAGACGTAGCCGCCATTTCCATAGAACAAACTACAATTAAGAATTAGAGGGCTGCTTAATCGGAAGATCCCTACGTAAGCCTCATATACGATAGGCAGCGCACGGACTCTTCCAAGCCTACAGACAAAGAGATGGCAGAAAGCAGCCAAGAAGCGCGAGTGCTTTATTCTGCTTGGAATAATCTTAGTTTTAGGGATGGCGTCCTATGCTATAAGTGTGGCACATCGTACACTTTGCGCGTGGTAGTACCAAGGACCGATATTGTGCAAATCATGACTTAGCTTCATGCTAGTTTGGGTCATCTGGGACCAGCAAAAGTTGAGCATGTTGGTGGCCAGCCATGCTTGACGACATAAATAATATTTGTGCGAGTTGCCACCGCTGTGGTGAGGTCAAGTCTCCACCCTATGAGGCCAGGGCACCAGTACAACCCATGACCGCGGGGATCTGAAACGGACTTGTTGGCTTAGACCTTATGGTGCCCTTCCCAGAGACGGCTAGTGATAATCGGTATATTTTAACTACGATTGACTACTTGAAGAAGTGGGCAAACGCTGTACCCCTCCGCAAGGTAGACGCAGATTCATAGATTCACTCATAGCAGGAAGTGTCATTGACAAAGAGGCTGCACCAACCAAATTCATTCGGATAGAGGTAGCCAGTTTTAGAGTTCGTTGCTTTCGCAATTGTGCGATTTGCTAGGCATTCACAGATTCGTGCCATAGCATAACACCATCATGGGAATGGGCAAGTTGAATGAACTAACAGGACGCTTAAGATTCTTCTAAGACTGCATTCCGATAAATATGCCTTAAATCAGTGGGACGACTCCTTGCCAGCTTGTGTACTGGGATATAGGTTGGCTGTCCATTCATCCCCTGGTCTAACCCTGCAGTAATGACCAATTGGACATGAGTTGCTGTTGCCGGCCGATGTCGTGGCACATTTACCATGAGATTCGGATTACGTAGGACCCTCCGAGTACGTTGCTGATGTGAAATGACAGCTGCGTCGATCATTCAAATCAGAGAGGTCACAGGTAGATTAGCTCAAAATAAACAGAAAGATTATTATGATAAACTGGCGCAGGGTACCCTTGTAGAGGAAGGTGTGGATGGCCACGACGAATGCAGCGGGCGAGGGCAGGAAATCTCAACATTCATGGGAAGGACCATATATAGTCAACATTGTCCTTGGTGAAGCGACGTGTTCAATTCGTAGTCTCGACGATAGTCCAAGCCAAGGGTTCACTGTCCACTTTAACAAGCTGAAACCCTATTTTCCGTCAATGGAAGAAACTGATGACGAGTCCCTAATGTACTGTGAACCGCCCATAGTGGACCACAGGGTTGAGATAGCGGCAGTGGTAGTAGATGAGAAGCTGGGGACTGTTTCGGTCTTATGGGGGGTGGCAGTGTAGCGGGATGGCAGATTGCCGACATCTCGGCAATCAGTCATTGGTCGAAATTAATCAGCACGGCGCGGAGGTGACGTCATGTGAAGAGGGGGCGCGACATCCGGCTGCGTGGCTTCACGCGGGCATTGAATGACGCGCAGGTGAATGCGAGCCAATATGCTCTCTAGTTTTCCGTCTCCATTGCAGTGCCGTGTAATGGACCAAGGGGAGAACAGGAAGACCAGGACAATAATATATGTAAAGCCCCTATTTTCCCCCTTACAAATAACCAGACTGAAGCGCTCTATGTATCTAAAAAGATTTTAGTGTTAACTCTCAGCCTTGTTCTCACAATGGGCCCGAAATCCACAACCTAATTAGTTATGCCAATTTTTATATCTGCTGCCGTATTTTTTGATAATCACTGTCTACTTAGGCCCTTTTACAAACCATCAAGGTTGCATGCATCTGTCAGACAACATTTCATTAAATGCAATTTCGAAAGATTAATTCAAAATTTGGATGAACCCCTCGATGTGACCGTATTTGCATTGCTTAAATAATGGGTTTTCTCCGAAAACATTGAATTACAGAAGTGCTATAACTTGTGATGCGACAGTGGGCAAGTCGCATATGTCGTACAAATGATAAAACAATATTTATTCGCAATTTGAAATTGAATTTACTTGAGTCATAATTATTTAAAAATGACATGTTTCTTGATAATGAGGGTTAACGTAATGACATTGAGATTCAATTATACTGAAAATAGTTTATTCAGACAACAGTTTACATTAAAAAGAATATTTTTTGTGCCACAAATGGATAAGTAACTTTTTTTATAATTTTATGTTCCCTATTAGAATTTTTAAAAAGTTAGATTTTAAGCTATCTTACTTCAATGTTTTTTTGCGAGAGAATCCACAGATCTTTTGAAGACGACCTAATTACGTTATCTTTGTTTTACTTCCTTATGTAGATTCATTCAATTGTTATAACCTGTTATTGTCATAGTACTTAGTCTTGTTATTATTAACACCTTAAAATGCAAGAAAAATATTCCAAAGGAAGTATTATAGGGGCCGGTACTTATGGCACTGTTTACCGTGCGCGCGAGAAAGTCACTGGTAGGCAATTCGCTATTAAAAAGATTGTTGTGGACAAGTAAGTGTCAATAATGTTGTCAGGTATAGCTTTGATAACGGAATACCTGCATCGACAATGCGTGAAATTGGTGTTCTTATCGAGCTTGACCAGTTTAAGCACCCAAATATCGTGGGGTATGCGATGAGTTAGGAAAATAATTGACTAAATAAGGGTTCACGAGATAATTCACGAGGATCGCAGTATATCAATTGTGTTCGAATGTGTTGACTGGGACCTTAGAACCTACATGGATTCACTAAAAAAGTCAGGATATAAACCCAAAGGTCTCAGAAACGGAGGATTGCCAGGCCCTTTAGTCAAGGTAACTGCTGTGCTTAAAATTATTCTTGCAGTCATTTACCAGGCAGCTGCTTGACGCTCTCAGATTCTGCCATCAATATAAAATAATCCACCGCGACATTAAGCCATCAAACATTTTGCTAGCAAAAAACGGTGTCATAAAGCTCGCCGACTTTGGCTTATCGCGTTCCCATTCAATCTGCGACCGCACATATTGTCATGAAATTGTAACACTTTGGTACCGCGCGCCGGAAATCATGTTGGGTTCGCCGTCGTATGGAACTGCTGTCGACATTTGGAGCACTGGGTGCATTGCTTATGAAATGGTAATGACTATGCCTTCGTGTATTTTTTTGAGGTTACCGGTAATGTACTGTTTCCTGGGGATAGCGAAATTGATCAACTGTTTCAAGTTTTTCGAAAGTTCGGTAATACTAATGTTATGTATGTCATCGTCAAGGCACGCCAACTGACGAAACCTGGCCTGGCGTGAAGTGCATGCCAGACTACAACGAGGAATTCCCTAAATTCCGTCCGAATTTTTTTGCTCAACGAGAGGTTACAAAGGAATTCCAAGCATTTATCCAAGTAGGTGTTTATGTACACTGTATTCAACTTCACACACCAGAATTTGTACATCACTTGCCGGTCTTTTATTCAAGGAAATGCTGAGAATCAATCCTGCTAACCGCGCCGAGGCCCATGAATTGCGACACGCTAAGTTCCTACGTGGTGCGAAAATCATCCCGATCGAATAGGACTTCCTCTCATCCCGTCTTGCAATTTTGTCTACCTTTTTAAAGAATTGTTTTTTTTTGTTATTTCATTCTTCTTTGTCCAACTCAGCGGAGGGAGATCTAACGTGACCACAAAACCGAACCACAATGAGAAACACAAATCTCACACTCAAACGTTTACTGAATATAGCTTCTACAAGAGCGTTAAAAAGGAAAATAACTCAAAAATCTTGATCTTGAATCTGGGATGGGGAGCAAAATTGTTCCCATAATGCCTCTTCGCAGGGGTATGTACAAAAGGGAACGAGTGGTAATGTGCAGGGCACCTTTTTTATTGGTCTATCTCCATCCCCTGCAATCCCGCGGGTGTGCCTATAAATTAACATTTAATGTTATTAATTCAAGAACATTAAGCATTTAAGGGACACAAAGGTGCTGCAGCCACACTAACCATTAGAGGATGCTGAGAGGAAGGGCCGCAAGGATGGCCAGTTGATCACTTCTGCAGCGGTTGGTCGGTCCTGAGACAATGGCTTGAGCATATTCTGAGTAGACAAAACACGTGTCAAGCTGAGCCGAACGAAAGTTAACACATAGCCTGACTAAACACTCTGAGCAAGCAAAATAGACTCACTTCCATTCTAATTCAAATTTCCTAACTGCCATTCATGGCGAAAAGAGCAGACTTAAAAAACCCACCTTTACGATTGGCCGAAGAGATGAAGGGACAACGGATAAATCTGGGACCGAACCGACTGCACGAAGGTGCTCCCAAACAGATGAGTTCATTGGACCACCAGCCTAAAGGTAGTAACGAAATGTTCAGATCTTATTAATTTGAAGTAGCACAGAGAAATTCCACGTTTAAAGCACAAGGGAGTACGAATTAAACGAGTGCTGCGAACGAAGCCACACAAAAATGAACAAAAAACACATCTTGACACCTACAGCATGGTACATTGTCACACCGAGGGCATAAATATCACGACCAATGGCAGCACACTCGGGAGAACCTGGATCATCGAGACGGGGCAAGTAGCGTCCATCACCCAGGTTGTCACCGTCTCTATCTTCACCAGCTTTCGAAGCACGACCAAAATCGGCCAGTTTAAAATCGACTCCACTAGGATCAGTGGATTCAAGGATCTACAATGATGAATTGATGAAATTATTTAAGCAGGCAAGCTATATATTTCAAGAGAGAAAAAATACTTTGACAAAACACACGTACACTGTAACAGAGACTCTTGGCTTCGTGCACCATCTCATCCTTTGTATACGCCGGATGATTCTCTGCTTGCTTTAATTGAATAAGGATGTTGCTAGGTTTCACATCTCCATGCACCATCGACCAAGTCGAGTGCAGATAGCTTAGCGCACTGCTAATATGTGCTAGGAGCATTGTCAGGGCGGCCAGTGGAAGTCGACGACCAACCAATTCCATGGAATCCGAAACAACACTCGCATCGGCATTACCGTTAGGCCGATCCACGGTTTTCTGGAGCGAATGACATGTATCCAGAGGTCGTCCAGGATGCAGGTAGTGAAACAGACTGCCACCCAGGCAAAATTCCAACTGCATAAATATTGACCCGGCCTCAAGCCAGGAATTGTAGTATTGCACAATGTTGTTGTGCTTCAAAATAGCAAGAGCCTGGACTTCATTGTACATTTCAGGCAAAGTACTCCCGAAATTTTTTTCGCGCTCCGATTCACAGCGCGACCTCTTGAGGCAATGTAAAATGCCGGTCAGTCGATGACGACCCAAGTAAACTATTGCCAATCTAGTTCTTGACAGCTCAGTTAGAAACGAGTAAGAACCCACAGCGCTAAAAAAATTGGTTAAAACTTAACTAACTTCAACTTACCATGGGGAATTGAACATGGGACTAAATATATCTGGAGCCTCATCAGTTTCAATACCGTTTGAAGATTTGCTAACAAATCGATTTGTAGCTTGAGCTCTAAAACCCTCTGGATAAATCTCCGCATAGCGAAGAACCCTTTCAACACTTGACACAGTCTGCTGACTAATTGCCGAAAATGCCTTTTCATTAAATTCATCCAAACTCAGGCGTTTTTTTCTTTCCTCGTAGGAGACATTTTGCTGGGTAGGGCTGTCACAGGGAGAGAATAGCAATTTAGGGCTCACTGACAGATTTGCGGATGTGTTTAACCTTTTCGAAAGCTGAGCTGACCGTAATTGCATCTGTTTTGCGTACGTAAGGCTATGATACAGATGGTCGGCGACAGTGCAACTGCTATGTGCAAGTTTGGACGAGACATCTTCAATTGAAGATGACAAATCCACTGGAGAATCGCAGACATGCTTAGAAACACGCGGTCTTGAGAAATACGCTGTTCGATTGTCTGGTTGATATGGTGATGTTGGCGCCCCCAGAAGACGAAGTCTAGGAGCCACTGGGGAAAAATCTGCAATCAAACCATCAGGAGAAAACCTCCCATGTGTTTTGTCTGACTCCTGTTGAGGAGAACAAACACTTGCATGACTGATTGAAGCAGGCGTAGAAGATAATGGAGCGGCGAGCTTTGATGACAGCTTGGATTTCTTAGAACTCATGTGTACAGCGCACGAACCAACGGTATTCAAAAAGCAGCTACCAACACAGACGTCTGGTTAGTGGGATATGAAGGAATAGTAAACTGAAAAATTAAAACAAACTTGAGGTTTTTTAAAATTCTTGCATAAATTTTATCAGTAATGATCGGCATCAGAGTTATTACTAAATTATTTTTTCTTATTTTTTAATTTGCAACTGCTAAGTTTACAAAAGGCCTTTGCTTAATTAACCATCTTATTCCAATGGAGTTTGCCAGAATGATAATTTAGACCCCATGATTTCATAGGTATGAAGAATTGTGACTGCATCGTTATTATAACACACACTGTCTTGGCAAACAAACTTCAAAATTTCTCTATAGTCATTCTTTTCTTTCTTCGTATTCTATCTGCAGCTACCTTTTGTCTTCTCACGATTCCTCCTTAAGATTCATAGAGACAGGCATCATTCTCAAGCTCCACACATGACCACAGTCATTGTACCAAATCTTCGCAGAAGCTAATTGGCACCCTAAATTAGCCACCACTCGGTTTCACAAAAAGGTCACCTGGTGCTAGTAGAGGAGGTGAGTGTGCCAAGGCCTCGAGAGAACTCTGCGCACTTGTCCTTCTTTGACGCGACACCGACTTGGAATCCTGAACACATAGTCGTGCTCCCTGATTACTATCTTCAAAATTAACACGCAAACGTTATGTATCCACTTCAATTCATCACGAATTCGAGTGCTTGTTTAGATTTGGGACTAATATATTCGTAAGGTGTTATTATTTTTGCAGACAGTTGTGGTGTTGCAACTTCGTGCTGACCTCGTGTCGTGACCCATCGTCGCGTCGAACAAGACCTTGCTGTGTCGGCGTGCAATCGTCCCTTTGATCCATGGGTTGTGCCTTGGTCAATAGTCTTGAACGTACACCGCTGTTCTAATCTCAAATGTAGTGGTAGATTTCGTACTCGAAGGCTCCGGGCGATTGTCCTGTACCAGAATCATTGCGGAATTTGTTGTCCGCAATTTGCGACCCATGAGTGCCTCAGATGGCGACTGTCGATTTGGTAGAGCTGCGTTCGGTGTTATACGATACACCAGCGGGAAATTCTGTGGACTTTCGACGGATGTCCTTCCTTCTCTACAGGATTTTAGCAGAGCTCGCTTCAATGTGTCGAAATACCTTTCCACCTGTCCGTTCGACTGTGGGTTGTAGCGTGGGGGATAAATGTGTGCAATAGCATGCTGTCGACAGAATTCCTTGAATTAATGTGATGTGAACTGTGATCCGTTGTCTGAGAATATGGTTTCTGGAATCCCATGGCGGCTGAAAATCTAGGACAGAGCCTGTAATGGCCTCGTTCTTGTGAAGGTAGTCATTGGGACAATTTAGGGCATTCTGAGTAGGCGTCCACCAGCTCAAAGTAGTAGACTCCGTTTATCAGTCCCGAAAGTCCATATGGATCCATGACCAGAGTTTTTGTAGTTGAGGCCAAGGGATTAAAAGTACCTTAGGAGGGTTCTTGGTGGTCTGCTGGCATCGGCGGCAACTCTTGACTAGGTCTGCAATTTGCTGATCCATATTTGGCTTGCAATCGTAACTGCGGGCGACAGACTGATGCGACCGATGCCGGGATGGCTAGTATGAAATCGACAAAGAACTCGCAAGCGTAGTGAGATAGGCACCACAGTGCGTTCTTTGAACACCAAGTAGCCGTCTATAACGCAGAGGGAATTGCGTCGTTGAAAGAACAACTGCTGAAGATCTCCGGCGGGGAGCGTTTTGGCCATTTGCCTTTAACGTAAGGGATAGCCTGTCGTAGTGTGTTTTCCAAGGTCGTTTCTCGTTTGCTGTCGAGAATTGAAACCGGCTGGGCACGAACTGCTTGAGATATCTGTTGTGTGATACCTTCGTCAGTATTGATGACGGCGATGACGGCATCTTCCTTGGTGGTGGGCTGGTTACTGATGAGGTCAGCAGTATTTTCAAAGGGTAATTTTCACAAGTGTAGAGCATTGCAGATGGAGCCGATGGGGATATCGACCAAGCTCAATAGTTCGAACCAATCCAGACCAAGAAGGTTCCGATTGGCGTTGATGACACAACACGTGCCAGTGAAGGTTTTACCGCCGAAGAACACAGAGCATTGCATTTAGCCGCAAAAGTGAATTTCACCGCCGCAGGCACTGATTGCTGTTTCAGAAGTGTTCCTGAGTGGAGGACTTTTGGTGGAGCGCCATTGAGTTTCCGAGATGATGGTAACATCCGAGGCGGTGTCTAGCTGCAGACGAACTGGATGGCCATTGATGAGGACAGTTGTGTGCATTCTCTGCTGTTGTTGAGTGTCTTCGGAGGTGACCTGTAGGCTTAGAGATGCGACAGTGGAGCTGGCTGTTTTGGCTTTTGACCTTTTCTTTGCGTGGAGGTTGGGGTGCCGTCTACTCCTGTTAGACGGGGACGATTTGCAGAATCCGTCCCAGTGGCCCGTAGCTTTGCATCGCTGGCATCGGTGCTGCTTGTAAGGTCAGAACTTGACAAATTGCCAGGCTCCACAGTGTCAACACGCGGAAGGAGGTGTGTCCCTTGTTCTCCTTCGACGATTTGTGCCAGCTGATTCTCCGTTTGATTTTGGCTAACGAGAGCTGGGAGGGCTAGAAGTGGGAGGTGGTTTTTGGATACGTTAAACGGTCTTGACTTTGAGAGCACTGCGGCCCCCAGCTTTGATCATTCTGGAGTCATGCAGCACGCTGCTCCAATGCGGGTATTCTTCCTGGTTATGGTCTAGCGTCACAAAGGGATTTCGGTCAATGAAATCTGTGTACATAGGAATTTGAAGGCTGCAAATGAGAATGAGTGTTTTGAGCTGGTCACCAGTCATTGATTTCAATTGACTTACCTCGCACTCTCGATTGACCACGGCTAGACGGTCAAGGAAGTTGGCAAGCTCTTCGATTGCGAGTTTGAGGCCTCAATTCCCGGGTACTGAGTAAGGAAGTGCGTTCCCCAAACATCCGCTTGACATTTTGAACGAACTCTTAAAAAGTGAAGTCAAGAGAGGACTTAAGGGGGATCGTGTCTGTGTATCGCTTCAGATCTGCTGGACCCATTTTGCGCTTAAGGATTGTGACTTTCCATGCGTCATCCTGGGACGCGAAGTCGACTCGAAACAGGTCTTCGTAACGCCTATACCAGGACTCAAGCGTTACACCGTTCTCCAGATCATAGGAAAACTCCAAGATACTGTTGGTGAGGCATTCAGTTGACAGCGCACTGGCGGGAGCGGCCTGAGACGACTGGTGATCGGCAAGCATTGACACTAGCCGCTGGAATAATTGTTCCATCCCTATGTCACTCATCTCAAGAAAAATTCCTCCTGCGTCGCCAAATTTGTTACGTTTGCCCGTAACAAAGAGAAGACCACTCAAATAACGATACCAGATCCTTAGCAGAAACTAGAACCGACCTTCCCACGCTAATACAAGAACAAGACCAGAGCTCGTGTAGAGAGGTTTACTAACGTCGGCTACGTGCGAGTGAGTTGACAAGAGTGAATACTAATTCAAGTCGAAATTGACCTCGAATTGCTCAAAGCGTAATAGAACACATGTTACGGAATTAGTGTAAATAGTGCCAAAAACCAACAATGAGCAATCTTGCGATATCGCGGATCCCCAACAGAATGTCTCAAGAGGGCACTCAAACAATTACTGGACTTGTTACCAGCTCCGTTTTCTAAATCTCAGCCATGCTCAAGAAGCACAAAAGCGAAAATGAAACAAACGACGATCAACTTACCCCGTTCACAGATGGGCCATCGTAGGAATCAGACCAAACCGGATAGCGATGCGTTGGCCGTCTCTGCGTTGTCGGATGCCTCCACAGGGATCTGATAGCTGGCTCCGAACAAACACAACCCACACTTGCAGTGCACATTTGACGCGAACTCCTGCCAATTCGGTATGTGAGGGAGATCAGGAATTTCAAAAATCACCACATAAAAATGTCGCAAGAGCGGTCTTGTTTAAAATCATGCGAAACGCTGATGACCAGTCACAGTCAGATCAGCTGAGCGCTTCATGCTGTAACACCTGTTCCAGGCTCTGTTCAGCCGTCGAGTATGTCGTAGTGGAAAGATGACGCAGTCAAATTTTACGAGACGAACCGTTTGCAGGATCTCAGTATGCCTGCGTTTTGTGTTAAAAAGGTTTGTGTGCATCCGTATTATGCATTAGCAGTGTTCGTTATCCACTTGGGACGTTGTAACGTGGGAAAGGGCAAACGATGTTCACAAAGCACACCAGACACCAGAGACTGGTTTTTGAGATGGCGGAGCCAACATCTACTATGCGTTGCATCACTTATGGCTATATCTCGCGAATACGGCATTGCAATCCTTCCTCTGAAGGCAAGGGAGTGACTTGTCTGGAAGGGAACAAAAAACCCCATTGCTGAGCTGTGCTCCACGAAATTTAGTTGCCCCTTCCAGAGGAGATTTAGACAGCCTATCTACGGAATGTGTACATTAGAACATTTTAAGGGGGAACACAAACAGCTTCTGATCTATTCACCACCTTCGTTTCCTCAAAATCGAGCATCCCGAAGAGGCACAATTGCACTGCAGCGATACCACTTTGGCATCGGTTTACAAGTCCACACGCGGAAGGGGGCGTTTGAAAGAAGCATAGAGTGGCAATGCCGAAACAATCGGTAATCCCTCAACCTGTTCAGTGACTGGTTTAATTCTGCCCACTTTCTGAAATGTACTTACTCTTTCCTAATTGTTTGACGATAACCAATTAGTCGGATACTTGTGCAATGTTGCCTGTCGTTACGTAGGTGGTTTCGATTGATATGAAATAGCCAAATAGCCATCTGTTCTGTGCGCCTTCACCGTGTTTGGTTAATCACAGGAGAGAGATTTGAGACGGTAGAATGTACAATTACCGTCACCTCGTCCTGCCATGTGCCTTCTAACGGTCTCTACTTGTGGAATGCGACTTCACAACCATTTATTATGCATTGGCATGTTTGTTTAGATTTAGGGTTGAAAAATCCATAAAGAGTTATTATTTTGGCAAGCAGGCGTGGTATCTCGATTTCAGTGCAATTTATCGAATCAAAAGTTTATACGTTTCCCTTCTGCCATTATGGTGCCTGGAATTTGCCTTTTAGTACACAAATTTCTGCTACAAGACTTGGAGACTACGTGTCAATTTGTGGTATTACGCCGCAAATGAATGTGGTTTGGGGTTGATGATGAAGACAAAAGGCCTCAGTCACAGATTTCACGAAATTCTCGTTTACCTTTCTCAAGTTCACTTGAGATATTTTGGATTCTTGGGATTAAAATTTGTTTCGAAGCCGTAGATTCAAACAGCGTTAATCTGGTGAGAAAATCGTGCCCCAAAATTAGTCCCACATAAGAATAAAGCGTCAAATTAACGGAAAGTTCGTGGTTGGAAGAAACTCGGAGAAGTTTGGTTTCGTTAGAAAAAGACGAGAAACTGATAGTAACGTTAGTATTCCGCAAAGCATATTTTCTGTTAAGTGACGATAAACAGGCAACAGGACTAGTAAAATCAATTTCGCCGAT